TCTCTGTAGTTCACCTACTGCCACAGCACCCATGATCCATCACCACCGTCCCTCAAGCTCTCCCCCGCCCTTGTCGTATGCCTCAGATCTATGGTCAGTATGTCACAATTATTACTATTAAAACAGCAATCAATGAGGTTCTAATATGCATTAAATGAGAATGACAGCCATTTTTCAGTTCATGCACACATGAACCAAAATTAAAAAAGAAGTTGTGAAGGTGACAGTGGTCAAAAACAGGACATTAAGTAACCATCATTAAAGCATTAGAAGTTTAACCTCCACAGAGGACCTCTGCAGTATCAGACAAGCAGCTTCTCAAAAAATTAGCTAAGCTCTAAGATTTTATTTTTGGTGGTGGTGGTGCTGTTGCCTAAGATAATAATGAATATTTCCTATTTCTGAGAAGTCCCAGGTTTAGGGAAACACTTAAAATTTTAATCATCTAATTTTTTATATATGTATCATCTCTTGTCAACAAAACCTTTCACAGACTTGCACAACAAAGTAACTAGCAACTCCATTCATCCAGGAGGTGACAAGGAACAGCCCATCTATGGTGACTTGAAGCTTAGCTCAGTTTGGACTCAATCACAGTTCATTATCTACTTCTTTCTCAAACAGATTTAGTACATAATGGACAACAAAGAAAATTAGCTAATAGAGGGAAAACAGACTTCACATTTTACAGTAAAGCGGAGGCAATTCTGAAGGCAAGTTATTCATTAAATGACGCTGTCACTTCATTGGACTGCCAAGTCCAGTGTGGAAGGAGATCAACGGCACTGATACGCAAAGTTAACCCGAGAGTAACTGATTTTTCATTTCCTTTTGCATACAAGCAAATAATTCTATCCTCCACTTAATGCTTACTGATTGATACACTCTTAAACTGATATCCTTGATATTTTAATCTAGTAATTATACCTCCAATTACCGTTAAGAGTGATGCTTACAAATAATATAAAGAATAGTAGATATAAAGGAAAATAGAAACTTAGAAATAGAAAACAGATTTTAAGACTTAGGTCCTATACTAAATCAAACAAAAGTCTGATTTGTGGGAAGAGATCAATTTAGAGAAACATTTCTACATTGTATCACTTAATCAGAATTTTCCCTTATTTACCTCCAACAATCTGTATGTTGCAGAAAAAAATGAAGCTTGGTTGCTATATTAGTTATAGAATTTTCTTTCAATATCAAATAATCTTATTGGTTTCTGAATATTCTTCTGAATAATTCAGATTTCAAAGACTGAAAATATTTTTTTTTAAAGATTTATTTTTATTTATTTATTTTATTTATTTATACATGCACTGGGTACAGTCAGAAGTGCGGGAGGGTGAGAGAATTCACCAGAGCCAGAGCGGGGAGCAGAGCAGGCAGAAGGACCGAAGTACACTGCTGAGGGGAGCAGCGGGCAGCAGGAGAGGTCTGCGCGCCATGTGGGACCCTCCTCTGGTGGCCGGGGAGCAGCCGGGGATCGAACCGGTGCTGCAGAGGCTGTGGGCAGCCTTGCAACCCAGCGCTCAACCGCTGAGCCACCGGGGAAGCCCAAAGACTGAAAATATTACTTGAATTATTCCTAAGAATAACCGAGAAACAATATCCAACAAAAGGGAAAGCCAATTTAAACAGAGGAATTTAAATGGTTAAAGATAGGGCCTCCCCGGTGGCGCAGCAGTTGAGTGCTGGGCTGCAAAGCTGCCCACAGCCGCATGCAGGTGAGCATCCCACATGGCGCTCAGACCTCTTCTGCCGCCCACTGTCCTCTCAGCAGTGTAATTCGTCGGTCTACCTGTACTGTTCCCCCTCTGGTGAATTCTCTCACCCTTCCACACTTCTGACTGTACCCAGTGCTTGTATAAATAAATAAATACATCTTTAAAAAAAATAAAAATAAATGGTTAAAGACAATAAAACACCCAATCCTTCCTCCTTAACTTTAAGATCCACTAGTAACTTAAAGAACACTCAAAGTGAAAATTATTGTTATCTGCCATCTGATGTTCTGATTGTTTGCTACTGAACTTGGAACTTGTGGGTGATTATGCGAGAAAATAAGCTATCAACGTTCATCTTAAAGAGCTTAGACTTGACTTAGACTGAGGAATAATAAAAAAAATTCTGTCTCATGAGCTAGTTAATGTAAGTACATTGCATGCTGAAAGACCAAAGGTGGGAAGGCTACATTTCAATTGACTTGTCAGAACACACTTTCCCAGAGAAGACAAGTCTTTCACTGGTCTTAGAGAGAAGGAGGGGGATTTAGAAAGCAGGTGACTGTTTCAGACTGATTAACCTACACATTTCTTGGATGTTTGACATCATTGTGGCCTCAGAGACCAGGAGTAGATAGACTGAGGATTTCAACAGCTTAAATTAAGGTGGTTGGGCAATACAAGTAAAATTTTTAACCAGATGTGGAGAACTCTGGGGTGTTTGCCAGTGACTGTGAAGAAAGTGGTTTGGAATCTGGAAACCATTAAAAATTCCTGTGGCAGTATCTCTAGTGCTTGGATTCCAATCCTGGATTTTGCACTTAACTCTTTTTCTGGCCTTATTCTCCACAGCTGAAAGATGAGGACAGGAGAATCTGTCTCAAAGAATCAATATGAGACTCAAAGATAATGAACATGATGATGTTTTTGGAAGATGCAAGCCATTAAGAATGGGTAATTCTAATTATGTTATTCTGTGGTATTAAGATTGAATTTCTATTGCTTTTGACAAACAGCAAAACTTTCAGGCTATCAGTCTGTTGATGTCATTTTGTGCAGGGAATCTTTGCACCACCACATTCCTATTTGTCCAGCTAGAATCGGATGTGAGCAACTAGCTAGAATGACTTCAATGAGAACCAGGTGAAGTGTACCCAGTGATTCCTGATTAGGTTAAGTAATCCAACTACTCACTTCTAATGGGGACTTTCTACTATCTCCTGGCCTGCTAGTGAAAAATGTTTTTTGTCTTATATTCTGTAATTGTATATTGTGTAATTACAAACAATACATAGTAATTTGATGCAGAGTGTAAACCAGGTGAAGCGTGCATTTCTGTAGGAGTGTCAGTAGAAACTAGAAATCATATCTCATCACCTTCTCTGATCTCTGACTTGGTGCCAGAACTAATTCATATGTTTATTTATATTTAAAATAGTTGCTTTGGAAATAACACACAGACACACACACACTCTCATACACACAAACTTAATTACCTCATTAAAGTCCCTCCCTCCCCGGTCATCTTACACTGGTTTAGTCCCTGAAGTAAAGTTTAAGTTATTCGCCAAAATTTTCAGTCTCATTTTTGAAGTATTGCTACTATACATGAGTGATGTTTATCATTTGTCTTTTAATATATTCTAATTTCTAAAGAATCAAATCTTTAAGCTTATTCCCAGATTACCACTCCCCAGAAGGATGAAGGACTGCATTAGCTGAGTCAGGTATGATGCGGACAGTAACAGGAAGCTGTGCGGGACTAACTTCTTAAGCAGCTTCCCACAGAGTGAGTTCAAAACTCCCAGTCTTTCTGAAGAAAATCTCTTAATTTTCCTTTCAGACTAAAAATTCTAAAATCTATGACACCTCTTCCTTGCTCACCAATAGAGATGATGTTCTGTCACAGAAGATGTGTGAGGGAGCTAATAAAATTCCCCATGGTCACAGAAACAAGGAAAAGAATTTCATTCCATAACAGGTTTCCCATTGTCATGACCCGTTGCCTTTTGGAGCCTACTGTGAGGACAAAGGTATTGAGAACAATCCAGAACAACTTATTAGATGTTCATGAAAGAAAGCCTACGTGCCTTCCAATATCATAGCTGTGCTCCCACAGAACTGTGCTCCCACATGCGCAGTTCTGACCATTAAATCCTCGGTGTTCTAGGTAGTTCCACAGGTAAGAGAGAGGTAGAGAAAGCTGGAAGCTACCTCATTTCTCAAGTTCAGGGAATAGTTCTGGATTCACTCCCTAGAGCAGGTCTGTGGAAATAGCCTTAACCACACCACTCATGGTAAAGTGGGATAGTTTCAGAAGCTTGGGTGTGGCATTCTCCCCTCCCAATAATTGATTCACATCCCTAAACCAAACTTCCATATGAATCCCTCAGACATACCAGCCTCCCTCAGTTTCTCCAAATTCGGTCAATTATATATGCCTGTCTAGCGTCTGGAGCCACAGCTAGAGCAGGCTGGCTCCCTGGCACTGCTATAGGCTGAACTTACCCTATTCCATCCCACCGCCAACACATACCATACCTCATCCAGTTCAATAGCGTATTGAACTCCCGGGCAATTTGCTGGGTGATTTTTGAAGAGATTTTTTTCCCAACCACCTCAACATACTTGCACTTTCAAAATTATAAGTCTTAAGATTCCCAATAAGCAGACTTGATTTTGGAAGCTGTTCTTGTCACTGACTTCTCCGTATGACGATAGAGAGATTTCATCATACTTGCTTTTAAGGTTGCTTCTCTGGTTGAATTCCAGAGAAAATCAAACAAACTCCATGGCCCTAGAACGGCATGCCTGCAAGCAGGAGAGGAAGGGCTTTTCGTTTATGTAGTTCTCACAGCTTACATTTAATAACAAGTTATTATTATTAGAAATTTTCTAAATTCCAACCTCCTGCTACCTTGGGTCCTCTTCCTCTTTAGATGGACAGAACGGGCACCTGCCATGGGGCTCTGCTCCTCAGGAGAAGCAGACCTTCTCTAGACCTGGCTGGCCCTGGGTCTAGAGTCCCCGCAGGGCGTGCCTCGCCTCTGGCGGGACCAGCCGCTCCATCCACCGCCCCAGGCAACAGCGTCCACCTAGAACCGGGTGCAGGCAGCTACTCCCACTACCCAGCCCCCTCCACCCTACCCTTCTTCGCCGGCCCCCTCAGTGCAGGGAATTTCCCAAGCATCCCACAGACTGAGTTTCCTGTCGGGGGGAGGGGAGGGAGCGTGGAGGGTTGAGTGCAGATAAAAGGGATGCAGAGGACTCGGGAACGCCAGTGCTCTGGGGCTTCAAATCCTCGCGCTTCCTCCAGCCTGCTCAAGCCTCGCCCACTTTCTCCGCGGCTATGAGTCTCCGGCCCAACCAGGTTGCCGGCGTTCCCCACCTGTCCGGCTCGCTGTGCGCGCTCCTCGCGCTACTGCTGCTAACGCCTGCCCGGCCTGTAGCCAGCTGTAAGAGCGCAAGGCACGCGGCGCGCACCGGGGCCGAGCGGCGCGCCAGCCTAGTCCAGCCTGGCGTGCTGGAGGTGCGGGAGAAAGGGCTCTCCCAGGAACCTGCCTGTAACGATACGTCTCTTTTTTCCCCCCCGCAGCTGGTCCTGTTGCAGTTGCTAATGTGCGAGAGCTGCGTTGCAGTTGTTTAACCACCGCAACAGGAATTCATCCCAAAATGATCAATACTCTGCAGGTGATCGCCGCAGGTCCGCAGTGCCCCAGGGTGGAAGTGGTGTAAGTCCTCTTAAACTGTGATTATTTCTTGTGAGCTTGGCAAGAGTGATGTCCCTCAGCCTAGGTCTTCAGCCTCTGCAGCTCAAGACCTCGTCCTCTCCTTTATCATTATTATCTTTTTCTTCTTTTTTCTTTCTGCAGAGCTACCTTGAAGAAACGGAAAGGATCCGTGTGTCTGGACCCAGAAGCCCCTTTGATCAAGAAAATCATCCAAAAATTTTTGAACAGGTAACCCAAACTATGATTTTCATGGTTTCTTAGTCTCTTTGGAGAGTGTAGATTTCTCTAGGTCCTTATTTTTTGCATAGGATTTGGCTACCACAGTCTAGACTATATTTAGAATGAGATTGTTCAGGAACAGAGGGGAGAAATCTGGAATGTCCTGGGAAAATTCATGGAAGCAATCTTACCTGTAATTCCCAAAGAGGTTACACAGAGATCATTACTAAAATGTAGGGGATTTTTGTTGCTATCGTCCTTGACTTCATCTTTGTTATTGATCTTAAGTTCTGTTTTGAAAACAAGTTGGAGTAGAAAGGAGTGTGGAAATTTTGTTAAACTTATAAAATTATTTTCTCAACAGTGGAAACAAGAAAAAATGAAGAGAAAGACCATGCGTTGAAAATCACCCAGGTTTTCTGCTGAGAGGAATTTTCTTCGGTGAAACCTGGCAGTTCTTCATGAATTCCCAGCTTTCAAGAGAGGGTAGAGGAAAGGATCATAAGCTTTCTGCTCAGCTTATGAAGGGTTGAGCATAGTATTTCTTGCTGTTTATTTGCTGTTATTTTATCTGTGTTGCTTGACATCTTTGACAATTGATTGAATTGTGAATCAAGAATCACCAGCCATTAATTTTTCAGGGTGATTATTTTATATCTAAAATATATTCCTTACAGTGTTACTGCAACAGGTATGCATTTAATGCATAAATATTTTATTGGAATGCTGTATTTGAAATAAACCATTACCCATACTCTTCTGAGATAGAAAAACAATAACAGTTCCTTGGAGAATGTTAGAGAACTTCGTTACTTTTGACCCTGGCATGCTATTTAAGTTATATCACATTAAAAAACTGGGTAGATCATAATTATCTCTGTAGAATATGTTCCTTATTTAGAACTTTTAAATGTATAAGTTCTATAAGGGCTGATATATTCTTTTCCTATAACTTTAGACATTTGATGTCTTCTTGGTATGGCATAGTGTCATGACTTATTCATTCACGTTTGATTTTATTTGGTATTTATGAGCTATTGTATTAGGAATACTATAATTCCAGTCATTACATATATGTTTTGGATAAATGAAGAAGCTAGGAAATAGATGAATTCCTTATTTCATGTTTATGGAAATGCAGTCTTTTCATCTTTTAAATAATAAAAGTAAACCTAATGATCTGTTCTCTAAAAGTTTTAAAAACATGTTTTGGCTATTTGAATATAAAGTCAGTATTTAGTGTCCAATAAAACCACAGAATTGTTAAGATTTTAGATGTCTGTAGATGTATCCTTTTAATATTTTGACCATTTTTGTTAACAATTATATATGCAACACATTTATTATGTTAAAATTATGTATTTTATTGCATGTCTCATTGGCTTTTGTTCTTTGGAAAAAAATAAAAGATTTGTGAAATTTACTCATGTTGTTTCTTCCCTTTTATAATACCACAAAATTTATTTATTTTTAATTCTGCATTATTTAAAAAATAACTTTGTTTCCCTTTGGGAAACAAAGTGGACCCTCATTTCTCAACGCTGTTGCATTATTAACTTTTCTACAAGCTCACTCCCCTTGCAGTTACTCCTTCATAATACCAACAGCCCTTGGTTCTTTACAAAATGCAAATAGGCAAGATTTCTCTATCATCAATCCTTAATTGGCTCCCTATATCCTAGACATAAAAGATGTACAGCTTGACAAATAAGATTTTATGTCATCCTACTCCTGATTTCTCCTTCAGCTTCACTTTTCGCTCACACTTATGCAGTCAATTTTGTTGCTTACTGGTGTGTTCTTTCTTTGATTCAGGCCTTTGCATCTGGTAGGCCTTATTCTACCAGGAAGGACCTCATGGGTTTTCTGCCTATAGGAAGACATTTATTCAAGCTTCAGATCCCAGTTCAAACAATACCTACTTCATGAAGTTTCCTTTGCAGAAACTTCATGAAATTCCCAGGAAAACTTATGGTTTATATTTCCCATATGATATTTTAGATATTTGGATTTATTTGAATAATAAATATTACATTGCTTTATTTGCTTCTACATTTCTTTACCCTACTCTACTAAGACATCAATCCTATTTCACTCATCTGTCATCTCCAACATCTGACACCAGTTGACTTAATGAATTAATAAATTATCCTGAACTTCAGATTGTTTAGTATCCTAAATCAATAAGTTGACTCCTGGTAGGTGTTTAGTAGATCGTAATTCTTTTCTCCTTCCTTTTTATTAATAATCCAACAAGAACCTTTACATAGGCAATCCTCTCAACCTATACCACCAACCTCTCATTTTCACTGAACTAATTCCCATCCTTCTTTGGGGTCAACTTACTTGCCACTGTGGACCTCTCGGACCCTTCCCTCCACCAGATTAAGTCCTTTTTAAAATTTCCTCTCATAAAATTTTATTTTTTTCCTTCTTAACATTTTATCACTGATATGATCAGAGAGTCTTCTGAAAGTATACACATGTGGTCATTTATTGTGTGTTCTAACTTCACTGTTAACTCCAGGAGGGCAGGGTCAATGCTTATCATGTTCATCTCAGTTCCTAGGACACTGCTTATTAAATAGTAGGTGCTTAAACAGATGAGTGGTCTAGACTAAACAAATCCCACTGCTTGTCTAGTACTTAAAAAAGCAATTTCATGTAAATAGCTTATTCTTATAAAAATCTAGAAGGAAGAAGTCTACCATATACAATTAGAGAAGTATATTGTTTTTACTTATATTTTGCATGTATTTGTATTTATTAACATGTGCTTCTCTATTATTAATATATCTATTGCTAACCTAAGTTATTCTACATTCTGTCATTTATCTCCTAATGTACAAAATATCAATTAGATTTGTATGTGTCCTATTATTATATATTGATATATCTACATAGATGTAGGGTAAAGGAAAAATGTCAGGCTTTTCTGCCCTCCCGCCATCAGGATGGACGATGGATCCTTGCGGTCCTGAATGCATGCCTGATGGTGGGCACCTGGAGTAGGGTGTGGGCATAGGTAGATGGGATTCACCTGGGCTGAGACTGTGCTTTTAAGGGCGGCGTCACGGGGACGCCAGTAGAAGCCAAGAAAGAAGTAGCAGAAGCCGAGAAAGAAGGAGAGAACGCCAGAGAGCCCAGATAGAGTGAAGACTTGCTGGGGGCTGGGAGGCCTGCCAGCACCCCTGCCTGCCGTGTACCTGATAATCCCAATAAAAGACCTGCAAAAAACCACTGAGGACTCTGACTCCTCCTTTACCCGGTCTGCATGGGATCAGAAAACCTGCACTGTGGCCATTCCTGCCCTTACAATTGGTGTAAGTCGGCAAGATGATCCATGCAGATGGGTATGGAGCCCTCCAAAGACCTGGAGGGACTAAGGAGTAACAGAGTGTTTCCCTGTGACAACACTGGAGGCACCACGGCGGCACAGGAGATGGACAAGGTCCAGAAGCTACAGGACGAGACCTTGAGTGAAGGAGACACCCGAGAGGACCAGCCAATGACCCCTGAGGCAGCAAGAATCGTCAGAAGAGAGGACTACAATTTGGAGCTCACCCGTGCTGATTCAGGGACAGGCCAATGAACTTGGCCTAATGGACTTGGACTGACAATCCCACCAGAAGTTGGAGGACCTTGGCAGGTTATGTTTTTTTTTGGAATCTGGGGGTGGCCAGTGGGCCTTGATGGCCAAAAGCAGCCTGTGTATGTCCAGCAGCCAGGCAGAGGAGAAAAGCCAACTGAGAAGGCAAAAGCTGGTGCTGATGCTAAGTTTGGGAAGCCCTGAGCAGCTGTTAAGCAGCCTGAGTATGCTGAAGACCTGTGAGTCTCGTAAAATCACCTGTGGGTGATGCCCTGCTCGTTGTCGAGTGAGGGTGAGGAGCTGAGGAACCAGTCCTTGGGGGATGGGTGGGGAACGTGATTTGGGGTGAACGTGGGGAACGTGAACCCAAGCCGCATGTAGAGTTTGGATCCCCGACCCATGTGCTTGTGCAGTGGGTTGGCCTGAGTGCAGGGGTCTGCGAGTCGCATTGGTGGCTATGAAGGCTGAATGTTGGTGTGACTGCAGACAGAAACCCTGAGGGTTGGCGATTACCCCCAACAGAATAGAATCGCCAATCCCAGAGTAAGTGCATCCTGGGGGTGGATGTGGTGTGTGGCTTGTAGTTGAGACTACAGCCAGAGAAGGCCAGGAAGCCTGACGGCTCCTGGTGTGTTACAGTAGATGCTGTGAGTAATTCCCTTCCCTCGTATGAGCAGTGCCTATGGCAGCAGAAGTGGTGGATCATCTGTTGGTACCAATAATTGTCTTTTGCCACTAGGTTGATGCCCTGCCTGGACTTATTTGTGTTCTGTTGTATTTTGTTGTTATATTGTGATGTATTTGCTTTTGTGGGCCATGGCTGCATTGTTTGTTTGTTAAGGAAAATTGTATATATGTATAGACTATATGGCAGAAAACCTGAGGGGGTGGACTGTAGGGTAAAGGAAAAATGTCAGGCTTTTCTGCCCTCCTGCCATCAGGATAGAGGATGGATCCTTGTGGTCCTGAATGCATGCCTGATGGCGGGCACCTGGAGTAGGGTGTGGGCATAGGTAGATGAGATACACCTGGGTTAAGACTATGCTTTTAAGGGTGACATCGCAGGGATGCCAGTAGAAGCCAAGAAGCCGAGAAAGAAGTAGCAGAAGCCGAGAAAGAAGCAGAGAACGCCAGAGAGCCCAGATAGAGTGAAGACTTGCTGGGGCTGCCAGCACCCCTGCCTGCCGTGTACCTGGTAATCCCAATAAAAGACCTGCAAAAAACCACTGAGGACTCTGACTCCTCCTTTACCCGGTCTGCATGGGATCAGAAAACCTGCACTGTGGCCATTCCTGCCCTTACAATAGAAGAGAGGGAAAGAGAAACAGAAACAGAGGCACAAAGATATGGAGAACCTAGAGTAAATTCAGCAATATAGAAAAGCACAAAATGCTTCAAAAATTTAAAAACCGGGCCTCCCTGGTGGTGCAACCGGTTGAGCGCCGAGCTGTGAAGCTGCCTGCAGCCTCTGCAGTGCTGGCTGGATCCTGGCCGGTGACAATCCCACATGGTGCGGCAGACTTCTATCTCACCCACTGCTCCCCTCAGCAGTGTATTTCTGTCGTCTGCCTGTTCTGCTCCCTACGTTGTCTCTGGTGAATCCTCTCACCTTCCCGCGCCTCTGGCCTGTACTTCAGCAGCTCTTGCATAAAAATAAATCTTAAAAAAAAAGTATTCTTAAAAAAATATTTAAAAACCACGGAACTTCTAAACATCTGTCACCTCTTTTTACTCTCACATAGTAGTTTCTTTTGAACCTATGATTTGTACACTAATCCTGGGGAAACAATAAAACAAACCAAATCACTATACGTGTTTGAAGTATTGTAGGGTAAGGTAAAACGTGTCAGGCTTTTCTGCCCTCCCACCATTAGGATTAATGATGGATCCTTGCGGTCCTGAATGCATGCCTGATGGTGGGCACCTGGAGTAGGATGTGGGCATGCATAGATGGGATTCACCTGGGCTGAGAGACTGTGCTTATAAGGGTGGCATCACGGGGACTCCAGCAGAAGCTGAGAGAGAAGAGAACGCTGGAAAGACCAGAAAGAGTGAAGACTTGCTGGAGACTGGGAGGCCTGCCAGCCTTCTGGCCCCCCAACCCCTCAGCATCCCTGCCTGCTGTGTACCTGGTAAATCCCAATAAAAGCCTGCAAAAACTACCAAGGACTCTAGTACTCTCTCCTTCACCCCGTCTGCTCGGGGCATAGAGATCCTGCTCCATGTCTTCCTGCCCCCCAACAAGTATAGACTTCACTGTTTTAAATAATCCCTGATTTGTCATTTCAACAACAAATATGCATTGAAAGAAATGCCTGATAATAATAAAAGTACGTTTAATGCCCTTTGGCTGGGCAAAATATATATTCTGTGAATAAATCGATGTTGTGGATTACATTTTCTTTATCATCACTCAAGTTCTTTGTTTTTTCCCAGAAGCAAGATTTATACATTTAATTTGTTGGTGGACCATAGAATAACTTCTTACTATTGATCCCACCAGTTGTAAGCTCACGGTCAGCTAAAATCTACTCTGCCATTGTCCCAATCTAGACAATTTTCAATGAATAATTAATGGCTTTCATTCTACCAGACTTTCCTGCTTGCATCTGGGTGTGACACATTCATATAATCCTTCAATTCCTGAATGTATGACATGGTCTATGATAAAATATGACTAGTGGTTTTGTTTTTCTGTCGTAGTTTTAATTCTTGCATAAGGAATGTATTGTTGCGGGTAACTCATATTGTACATAACTTTAAAAGTCCTTCCTGGATGATACAAATTGAGAAATTTACTAGACATAAGGAGCACCTAGGGATTTCAATTTGCTTCCCTGACTAAGTCAAGGAGAACGCACATGATTTCAATTTTGGCTGATGATCTGAGCTTGCTTTTAGTCAACACATTTTAATATTATTTTCCTGAAAAGGATTGTTGACACATCAGATAGTAGAGTGAAATAATGACAGGGAAAAACCTAAAGTTTAGTTGTAAAATCTTGTTTCTACTACTAAGTCTAGGGTCTTGTTTCCTCAATATTGAGAAACTGCATGAACCACTTCCCCTGAATAATCCACATCCTTAATATACTTCTGCCTCACAAGCTTGCAATGACTTTCTGACCCCACTCAAATGTAGGACAGAGAAAGATAGTTGATTCATCACCAACAAGAAAAGCCACAAACACTTCTGTATTTTTCCTTCCTTCTCTTCCCTTCCTTTCTCCTCTCATCCTCCCTCTCTGCCTGTCCCTCTGCTTCCTTGCTTCCCTTACTCCTTCTTTCTACCCTTCCTTTCTTCATTTATTCCTGAGAAGCAAAATGACGCCCCCTAAAAGGGGGGAAGGGGCTTCCCTGGTGGCGCAGGCAGTTGAACGCCGCACCATGAAGCTGTCCGAAGCCTCTGCAGTGAGGGTTCGATCCCAGACGGCCGGCAAGAATCCCATATCGTGAGCAGACCTCTCCTGTCTCGCCCGCTGCTCCCCTCAGCAGTGTATTTCAGTCAGTCTGCCTGTTCTGTTCCCCGCTCTAGCTCTGGTGAATCCTCTCACCCTCCCGTGCATCTGGCCTATATCTCACTTCTTGTATAAAAATAAATAAATCTTTAAAAAAGGGGGGGGGCGGAGGTGCAGGAGGACCAAACTGCCCTAGCAGAAATTTTTTAGCAGCAGCAACATTCCCTGTGCATGAAGCCTTAATGCTCTTCTCAGTAGCTTCAGCTGCCCTCTCACTACACTCACCTGAGTGAGCTCAGGCCAGCTGACAGCAGAATACGCTCTTATTAGCACATGGAATGATCAAAAAATCGTAAATTGTTGTGGAAGCCATTATATTTGAAGTTGGTTTGTTATATAATAGAAGAGGATCATCATGCATTAGATATTCAACTGATTGAGACTCATCAATAAATAATTAAAATGAGAATTCTCAGGCCTGCAAAGCTTTGTAGTGCTCCCATATAATAGTATCCAGGAAGACATTTCCCACTCAACTCCTTCATCCTCACCCACACCCAGTGTCTGTGAGCAGTATACGGTCTCTTTGACTGGCATGACAGAAGAATCCATGTCTAGATCTTGTCATCTCAATTCTATAGCAAACACATTTGAGTTTGGGGCTCATAGGAAACTTTTATTAGTTAGTATTTAAATTTATTGATTGATTAAGTGATGCAAATGATAGAAATTGTAGTTAACAGCATTTAGTAATAGTAGATTAGTATTTATACCACATTGCTTTAACAAACAGATCTAAAATCATTTTATCCCTAGGATCATGTGAACCAATTCATTTTATGACTGATTAGCAAGTGTTAGCTTATTGCTTCATTCTTAAGGTCTGTCAGTTCAAAATGTCCTATGGAAGACAGAGTTAATACAGGCCTTAATTTTCATGGGTAACAGTCCCCCAATGTCTCTAGATAGTTTCTTTGAAAATAGCTAACATACTAATTCTATTTTGAATCTTAAAACACTTGCTCATTTCCTGAATGACTTTCCTACTTATATAATGACTTTAAAGGAAAGAGATAAAGTAACTGACCACACACACACACACACACACACACACACACACACACACAGAGTCCACTCCCCAAAACAAGGTGACAATATGATTCCAAAAAAGGCTGTCAGACTATTTTAAAACCCAAGAACCCTGAGTCTAATTTTCCTAGCATTCACTTAAATGTGTACCCTTGTATAACATCATGTAGTATAGTAGAATATGGGATTGTGTAGTGTACTGTACTGTAGTGTACTATCATACTGTATCATATTGTACTTACAGTATACTTAGAAGTATATGCTGTCTTCTTTTCATTTAATCACTGATTCAAAAATATCTTTTACCCTTTCTTGTATAGTCAGTTTATTGGTGTCTGCAATGTTTTTTCTTTGTGGAAATCAAAGAAAATGATGCAAATGATAGAAATTGCAGTTAACAGGAGCAATTATCGTGGGTTAGTATTTATATCACATTGCTTTGCACAAATATTTGAGGTCTCAGTTTTTAAAAAGAAATAGTGAAGCGACAAAGTCACATAACAAAGAGGACTTTAGTGCCTGGCTCATGGAAATGCTCAGTCAACAGTTGAGAAATGAAAACTAGCAAAACTTATTTACCTTGTACTGGAAGTGGCAGTTTGAAATTTGGTGACTAAATTTAAGCATTTAGTTAAATTTCCTCATTTAACTAACGCTTCCTTGATGATGCATCTTTTATGACAAAACACATAGGTTGATTAAGACAATGACTTGGTGATACTGTGTTACATGCCTCCCTTTTTCCTGTTATTAAATGAATCTGGAAAGATATTTGGATAGTATGTAATCTGGGAGTGGGAAGGCCCAGTGATGCCGGTAAATATAGCAAACATTGTATGTTGGTGGTTGTGGTGGACAGAAAAGGAAGAATACTATGAATAAATGCAAAAAGAAAAAAAAAAATCTTGGGCCACCCCAGTGGCACAGCAATTGAGCGCTGGGCTGCGAAGTTGCCCACAGCCTCTGCAGAGCCGGTTTGATCCCTAGGGCGAGGGTCCCACATGGCGCTCACAGACCTCTCCTGCCGCACCTGCTGCTCCCCTCAACAGTGTACTTGGGTCCTTCTGCCTGTTCTGCTCCCCGCTCTGGCTCTGGTGAATTCTCTCACCCTCCCACGCTTCTGATGGTACCCAGTGCTTGTATAAATAAATAAATAAATCTTAAAAAAAAAAACAAAACTTTATATCTTGCTAGGGAAATATATTTTATTAAATAAAAATATATCTGACATGTGAATTAACAGTATTTCAACTACAATGATGAGAAAAGACTATAAAGTCATCATTCGGGAAGAACTGAAAAGAAGTTTGGTCTCCTTAATTCTATTTTCTCCAGAGAATCTGAAATTCATTCCACATCTCGGTTCTTGCTTAGAAGGGTAAATACTTATTTTCCATTTAATCTTTTCTTAAACTTGCTTTTAGACTATAAACTTTTGGATTGAGCGAGAGAAATGGAAAATAATTTTGATCTCACAATTTCTGTTGCTTGACTAGAAGTTACATGAGGAAAGCAAATAGGTAGGAAAAAACAAGGAAAATATTAATAAACAAAACCTAAGAACTTAAGTAGGTACAGTCAGTAGCTATCAAACAATAGGGAAAATTGGTTTTAAATTTTAAACAAAAAAAAAATTGGGAAATTATTCACTTTTTTGATAAAAAGAAAACTTATAGATTTAATTATTTTTGTGAGTTTCTTCTAGAAATTTAAGCACGTGAAAAATAAAAAAGGAAAATGAAAGTGTAATATGTAAGATTTGTAGGTAGTTATAATAGGAAGACAACTGTAGCCAGGGCCTCATCCAAATCACCTTTCTACACCAAAGGTACTTTGGGCCATTTGGTTTGAGAATTGTGGCTGGATAAAAAGGAAAGAGAAATGTTACTTCATGTGATATATACCCATTGTTTATTCACTAGCACAGTTTAAGTCCATCATATATTGCATTATCCTATGTGCTACTGGGTACATGAGGCATTCAAAGATGCTAGGACTGACTTTGCCTTCAAAAACACATAGCAAGTTATATAGCTGGGACAGAGATCTAGATAGCATATAAGTCAGCAGGTGATACGTAGGTTCACCTCTGAATCTCTGTGGGGCTTTGTATCAGGTGAGGTTTGAGATCATGATCTTCAACTAGGGTCTAAAAATGAGGTATAAAGATTTTATTGAAATTTGTAATTGTGCACAACTGAAACACTAATAAGACAGAGGTTAGACACCTATAAAACTGAAAGGTCACCAGTAGGACATGGGTTGGACTGTGATTCCCCTATGCCAGAGGATGTCATGCAGTTATTGAAAAGAATAGGGTAAAAATATACTGAGGTAGCATGAAAAGATGCTGACGACAATTTTCAAAGGACAAAAGATAGTAGCAGCATGATCTCATTTTATATACATGAATCTGTCTGTCTGTCCTACTGTGATGTATAGATGGCAGAGAAAAGAGGAAAGTCAGAAAGCCTGTGTCTCTCTATTATTATGTGTGTCACTCTGCAGACAGAAAACTAAAGCCAAATTGTTACCAATGGTTACCATTGGAAAGCAGGAATGTGGAGTAATGATAAAGAAGAGCTTGCAGGTTTTATTGCCAATGCATCTTCAGTATATGAATCTTTTGCAATAAGGTGTATATTTCCCTGTTAAAATAACAATAAGAGCAAAAATAAATATGCTGTGTCTTGCCTTTTAGGGTAAGCTCATATGTTCAAAACAAGAGTTTGCCTCGTAAGAAAAGGGAATATGAGTGTTGCTTCTAGTTTCTGGACAAATTACAAAAGATAATATATTTGGAAGACAGAAAAAAGGCCATAAATAATATGAAAAGGGAGTCTTTGATGGTAATTGGCTCATATTTTATCTATATACTCCAAATTAATGTTGACATTTATCAACAACTGGGATAAGACCATCTTTGGCAACTGGAAAGTGACAATAACTCTTTTTTCCAAGGGTCACATACATATCTATGCTTTTATGTAGGAATAAAATGTCTATTAAACCTATAAATTGCATATTAATGAGTGATACCAAGAAAATATATGTCCAGGGCCTCGCTGGTGGTGCAAGGGGTTAAGCACCACACTAAAGCAATCCCCAGCCTCTGCAGCATGAGTTCGATCCCCGGCCGGCCAGGGAATTACCCACATGGCGCAACAGACCTCTCCTGACTCACCCACTGCTCCCCTCAGCAGTGTATTTCAGTCAGTCTGCCTGTTCTGTTCCCCACTCTGTCTCTGGTGAATCCTCTTTCTCTCTCTCGCTCACACACACACACATTTTTGGCCTGTGCCCCAGCTCTTGTATGCATAAATAAATAAATCTTTAAAAAAATATTTATATATGTTGTACTTCAATTCAGTTCCTACCCCCCTGTATCAAGTGTTATATATTTGTAAGGGAAATTGAGAAGGGGGGAAATGGGAGCATGAAATGATCCATAAATAAAATTTATCTGGAACTTTGACTTCCTGGTTTATCTGTGTTTTCACCACTTGGCAACTCTTATAAATGTATTACCACATGCCCTTACTTCCTCCTTCCCTTTCCTTTTTCTCCTTATTAACTTTGAAGGCGTGTGTATAAAAGATACCAGGAAAGCCTGAAAATACATTGTGGATTTCTAGGCAGCCATTCACCCTGGCGCTGAGGTCTCCCGGCTGTGGGACCAACCTGTGCTCAGTCTTCCCTTAACGCTCACCTTCTCTTATTCCAGGGCCAGCCCATCCTGTGTGCTACAGATGTTGCTGCTGTTGTCACTGCTCCTGACCTCGCTGGTCCCCTCCACCATGGGAAAAAGTAAGAGAAATTAGGGATGCTGAAGGTGGTGTCTCTGCTTGGTGCAGCGGTGGCTACTTCTGTTGGGACTGTGGCTGGGGGAAAGAATTTTATCCTGGTGCAGGTAATGCCTCTTTCTACCAATAACTCTAAATGGAGGAGATATACTTAGCGGATACTTAACCTGTGCCAGGCATTGTGCTAGCAGATTCCACCGAATGTTTGCAGGTCATATGCACAATAATCTTTTGAGGGAGGTATAATCAACAAAGAAGGAAACAAGACAATAGGTAAGATCGTTAAAATAATCAGCACTGACAGCTACTTTTCCCCTAGCTAACAGTGTGGATGGCGACTTGTTCTTAGAACTTCGCTGCATGTGCTTGAGGACCATCTCTGCCATTCGCCCCAATAACATCCAAAATTTGGAGGTGATCAAGGCCGGACCCCACTGTGCCAAAGTGGAAGTGATGTAAGTCCCTGTGTCTTTATTATCGTCTCAATAGGGAAACCCTCCACCTCTACCTGTACCTACTCTATTTTACCCAGCACTGTGGGTCCCTTCTGAGAGTCAGGCCAGGCCACTCACAGATATTCTGTCTTGCAGAGCCACACTAAAAAATGGAAATAAACTCTGCCTGGACCCTGAGTCTCCCAGAATCAAGAAAATAATGCAGAAAATTTTGAAAGGTGATGGGTCAGATGCTTAATCTACTCACTTTCTGTCAACTTTTTAACCATTTCCCAGGAAGAGCAAGATATTGAAGCTTTGATTTGCTAGAGTTCTTACCTGTTCAGATCACCTAGTCATACGATATTAAACTTTGGATATGTTTATAATTCTGTCTCAAATAGTCACATTTTATTCTGAGAAGGCTGGTTGATAGATGACAGAGAAAAGAAGAAAGTAAGAAAACCTAGTTTCAAACTATAATATGTGGTTTACTCCCTAACTCTTGGCTAAACATTGTATTATTTATTAAAAAAATCTTTTCCTATCACATTCATGTTAACTTCTTTTGTTCTGCTTTACTACTAGCCTAGACATGCTCTTGATGGTTAGTAGATTCTATAACAATCAGTGATATTAGCAGCCCAGTATAAAGCACCAGTTCACAAATATTTATTAATATATTTAGGAATTTAATGAGAGTTTTTCATTGTCCTAGTTCTAGGGTGTCTGAAAAAAATTTGTTTCTTTTGTAATAAAAGTCATTTTAAGTAATGTTTTCTACAACTATAACCACCACCACAATAATAATATAAGTTCTGCTTGGTGTTAAATGTTTTACTCTGGTATGTTTATGCATACTTGCATTTACTTAATATCTGCATGCTTATCATTCTGGTACTAGAATCAGCCTTGCAAATATGTACAACAGAGAATTTAAATTTTACCAGATTACTAATTATTGTTTTATTAACAATAGAATTTTCATTCATACTTAATTCCTTAAATTTATACTCACTCTATTTAGATAGAAGTGCTAACATAAAACTAAAATTTGCTGTTTCTTTGTGTTACATGTTATTAATTTTATCATAAGTGTTGAGGGAAATGGTTTAGTTGTTTGTTTTTACTCTTTGGCATTTCATAATAGGGCAAACAAAAGTCATTAGTGTTAATCTGAGCCATTTTTAATGTACCATAGTAATAATTGAACTTTATTAGTAACTTTAATATGCTGAATATTGCTGCATCTCCCCCTGCAGTGACCTTCAGGGCTAATGGCTGTTGCCATGGTCCCTGAGGTCCAGCATGGGCAAGGAACCATGCGCGCAGCGGGAGAACAGCAAACTCCCTAAAGCTTAGATAGGCCGGATGCCTGTTAAGAGATAATGAAACATTACTAAACTCTGTGTAATAATAGAATTGTTAGTTTTATGATTTCTCTGTTGTGTCCTTGGCTTTGTTAGCTTTGATCTTAATGAAAAAATATTACTTTGTGAAAAGTATATTCACCCATGCTCATTAATAAATAAGTTAGTGAGTAGTTATTAAAACGAAAAAGTAATTACATAGAACAAAAGAAAAATTATTAGCCTGACTACTTAAGAAAATGACTAGGTCCAGATGTAACTTCAGACATAGATCACTGCCCTGTCAATGATAAGCTAAACCTATGAGCCAGCTGGTTTAATTCACTGATAACCGATCCTATGCCTTTAGAAAAACATATATATACTGACCACTGACTCAAATAAAATTGCACTCAGATTTTCACTCTCTTGAAGTGTGTCTGTGTGTCATTTATTCGCCAACCCCCTGACCACCCCACGCAATCTCTCAACCCTGAGACGGCCTCATCATCCACTGCTGTGCTGGTCCGCGGCAGAATATTGTTTTGCATGCAAAATTAAATAATTCTTACAAGATAGCTATGACCTGATTAAGAGTATATCCTCTGGAGAAAGAAGAATGGTAATTTAACTGCCTAACTTAATTATACCTCTTACTAACTATGAAACTGGACAAGTTGAGTAACTCGCGGTGCCTCAATTTCTTCATCTCTAAAATGGGATTATGCTTATCTATAAATTCAAACTATGAAAAATAATCCATGTCATACAATAACCCATATATAACTATTTGACTATTATACATATATAACTATATATATAACTATTTGACCCATATATAACTATATGATTACTTATTATTAGTATTACTATTAACATCCCCAGTGTTACAGAGAAGCAAACTGAAGCTCAGAGACATTAGGAAATACGTCCCAAGATCTGATAAGTAGGTGAGAGTATGGGAATTTGAAACTATATTCTTTAAAAAAAAAGGTTGGTGTTGGGAACATTTGCTTGTGATGCAATGAGAAAGGGAAATCCTTTTACTCCACGGAGGCTGTCCAGGCACACATGAACAACAAAAGCCACTGTAAGCTCTTCACAGATGGGTATGCTGCTTTGGAATTTGCAGACTTCTATGATTTTAGGAGTAGCTACCCAGACTATAAGGAAGGCGAGGACCCTGATGAGACTGAGGAATTATCCTCAGAAAAGCCCCTGGAAAATGATGATGAAACCATGGAGTTAATTCTGCCTTCTGGTGCCAGAGTGGGTCACCGCTCCTTGATGTGATACTACAAGCAGCGGTTTGGCATGTCCAGAGCCGTGGCTGTCACTAGGAATCAGTAGGCCGTGGGCGGAGTGCTGCGGCATTACAGAGTCCTGGGGTGGACTGGCAGCACAGGGGCGGCGCTGATGCGAGAGCGGGACATGCAGAACGTGCAGAGGATGAAGTCCAAGTGGATGCTGAGGACGGGCATGAAGAACAACGCCACCAAGCAGATGCACTTCATGGCCCAAGTGCGATTCTGAGGCCCCAGGTGGAGTGCGCCACCCGCCTCCACGAGTCCTGGCCCGAGGCTGGCTGGCGCAGGGCTGTGCACCAGCCTGTGCCTGCTCATTGCACCCGTCATCGTGGTCGGTCTAACTAATAATAAAAGTCAGGATCGTGCTGGCAAAAACAAAAACAAAACAAAACAAAAAACCTGTATTCTGGTGCCACACCTTAATTTTTCTTTCTCTAAGGAAAGATTACATTTTATATCACATGTATTGACACACAAAATAAGATTTGATGCACAAATAAAAACTGCATATACTATGATGATTATAAAAGGTGAAGTAAGTTCACCTACCCCAACTTATAGATGGGCTTTGGGGAACATTCATGTGTTAAGCATTTAGTTCACAGACTTTGCACATTAAGGTCTTCTTTTATTATCTCTTCACCATTATAGGTCTAATGTCGTAAGGTGTTTTGTCTACAAAATAAATATAGTTAACTAATAACCAAAAAAATCCATAAATATTTTATTAAATGTGATAAATCAGTAAATGGGGATTAAAGTGTCATTGTCATTTTCATTGTGTTTTCTCCAATAATTCAAAATTGCTCAGACACCTCTATCTTTCTCATTAATTTTCTTCCTGAAATCCAACAGGGCAGCAGCTGAGATATGACCCAGTTTTTGCACCAGGTTAATACTTCCTAAAATGCAAATGTCATTATTCTTCTGTGCATACATTAAAATAAGTAAAAAATTAATTTAATTGCTACTCACCAATTCCTGGATTCTCTTACATTATGGATATTCAAGTCTGGGGGATAAGGTTGTACAAATTCAGTATGTTGCTCATCCAATCCAAAGCCAACTCTTCATCCCATTTCCCCTACTGATAACCTGATTTGGATTCTGAAATTTCAATTCCAAAAACTTTCAGTGCATGAATTACATACAGCGTGTTCTGTACCAGCCATTGTGTTAGATGCTGGATATTCAATAAGATAGAAGTCACAGAGAATTGTCACCATATGATTGGAAAGGCAGAAAAGTTGACAATCACGACTTCATGTGACACATGTTCCAAGGTTCAATTGCTTAAAGAAACAGACACATGAATGAGTCAGTCTCATTATCATCATCTTCAACATGTATGATCTTCACAATGCAGTACTTAAATATTAAGTCCTTACCAGTGCACTAGTATAGTAATAAACAACATGGTCTCACACTTCTTAGAGCTTTTCACTTGGGAAGAAAAAACACTTTAAACACTTCTAAATATATATACACATGTATACACAAATATATCTGTGTATAGATATTATGTGTGTGTGTAAGATCTGTGAGAACACGTAAAGTGAGTGCTATAAGGCATGACAACAGGAAACACCACTAGCTTTAGCTTTAGATGTCAGGAAGTTCCCTCTGAGGACGGGATATTTAAGCTGTCTGTCTTCACCTCCACCAAGTCCCTCAAGTTCCTGGTGAGTCCGAGGGCAAGTTAGGAATAATTAGGTAGCCTCAGGGTCAGTGCAGGGACTTTCGGAGAGTTAAGGAAGGCTCTGGAGATAAGGGCAACAAATTCCAATGGGGACTAATCAAATATCCCAGGACAAAGGTCAACAGGACATTCTAAATCGAGGACAATGAGGAAAAAAGATAAGGCCTGGGACACAGAGATTAATTCTGGGCACAGAGACATTTAGGCAGTGAGTGAGAACACCAAAATCAATCACAAAGAGACTGGTGGGGCTTTAGAATAATTAGGGAAAGAAGGTGTATATTCCCTGAGGCAGGACTCCACTTTGGCTCCCTTGCCCCTCCCTGGCCTGGTTCCACCGGCCTGGGAGTTCCACTTTATTTCTGTTCCTTTTCTCCTCTATAAACTTTTTCTTTCTCTAAATAAATCTGCCTCTTTGTTTGCTTGCCTGAGCGTCTGCGAAGTTCCTACTGTGGCTTCGTGAGACGCCAACCTCTAGCGCTGGGACTCAGCGCCACCCCTGCAGTCTGGGGTCCATTCCTGCCTGGGGGACTAGGCCTGAAAACCTGCAATTTTGGTATCACTGGTGCAAGTCAAGGCTGGAGAAAGGAGCCCTTTCTTAGCCCACCTGCCTTCTGTATTCTATAGATTCATTGGCTGCTTGGTCTTGCTGACAGCTCCCAGGAAGCTAGTCCAGGGTGGCTGCATCTAGGGGCAGGGGAGAGGGTGGTAGTGTTATAGGACAGGGAGAGGGGTAGCCCAAACCCCGGAACCTCCCCCTTTCCTGGGGACCACCCTGTTACAGTAGCTCCCTTAACTAGAGGCTAAGAGACCTTGCTTCTTACAGTCCATTGGAGTTTTGTTGATAGAGCCAGGCGGACCCCATGCAGACACTAAAGGATTCATTCTCATTCAGGTGAAATTCAAAACCAAACCTAGAGACCAAATTTAACATTTCAAAATATCAAAAAGCACTTTTAAGTATTAATTTAAGCAAAAATTTATCCAAATGAAGTGACTTCATTAAAAGATTCATGAATCAGGCACCATCACTTCTAGCAAGCAGAGAGGTCCTGCAAGGAGTTGTACAAAATTAAAGTTTTTGTAGAAAAAAACAAGGTGGGACAAGAAGAGGATTGTTTCAGGCAAGGTCACCTTCCCTTAGGGGAGGGGAGGGGATTTTATTATGCAGATGACCTCACTAGTGCTGATTTGGAAATTCCAGGTTGACTGCTTTAAGATCCCACTTTGGGGGCCTCCCTGGTGGCACAAGGGGTTGAGTACAGCACAGTGAAGCTGTCCCCAGCCTCTGCAGCACGAGTTTGATCCCCAGCCAGGGAGCTACCTACATGGCGCAGCAGACCTCTCCTGGCTCGCCCGCTGCT